GATTCATGCATCTAACATTTAATTTTCCACAGTAAAGAAATAAAGGTTATAGCTTTTGAAAAGAAACAGGCACAACAGTAATTGCTTCTGTTGGGTTGTTTGTTTGTGCAATGCAGCATTATTACTTTCCTCTTTTCTTTCCCCCCTTGATCTCATTTATAAATTTATTTCCTAGTAAATCAAAACCAAATTAAATGAGCATGATGTCTGAACAAAGCTTGTTAGGCAGGACAATGGTGTTCTTTTTTATGTCTTGCAGAGATCTACCCGCTGTGAGAAATCTCTCATGCACCAGCTATCCCATTCCAGTACATAAGCCTACAAAACAGCAGCGAGCACCAGCAAGCATATCTATAAAACAATAACACCTCCTTTTTCATTACTTTGGGAAACATTTTAGGCAAACTTTCCATCTCCTCTTCCAGATGCGATGCAAGCATGAGTCTCGTCAGAGACTCGTGATATTTTCTGTCGTTGATCTATGACATTTTCTTAGACATTTCGACTCTATATTGATCGGTTTCAGAACGCAGCTGCCTCATATGTAATGCATGAAATCAAGCTTCTTGGGTGAATGTTTTCACATCTAAACTATCTCATCCATGTCATGGTTCCAGGAATCTTCCAGTATGATGGATAGGTTCCCGGTGCTGTGCTGAAAGCACTTCCTCCCACCTCTAGCACTGATGCATGATGCTGAGCTTAGAAAGCACATGAGCTATCTGGAAGCACAGAGCTCACATTTTTTAGAGCTCCTGCAACAACCACCAACACTTTTGTGACTTATCAAAATAGCTGCAACCACAGCAGCTCATATCCAGGTCCATAAATGGGTGTTGGGGAAAACAGGCCACCAAAGATGCATAGCTTCTAGCTAGAAGTAGCCACATCAGCAGCTACCTGGCCTTGCTGTATTTAGCTCTAGGTTATGCCCTAAGTTTTTTGGTGCTTGAATGCTTGCAGCAGCACTGGTGGGTGGGTATGTGCATGTGGGATGTCTTTCTACCCTCCACGTCTGTGGCTATAATAGTCCCTCCCAGGCTTCTTCTCTCTGAGGTGATCACAGCCTATCAGGGATCATGGAAGCAACATGATGTCTCATAGTCTTGCAACCAATTATATCAGTGTTTCTCAAACTTGGGTCTCCAGCTGTTGTTGGGCTACAGCTCCCATCATCCCTGACCACTGGTCCTGCTAGCTAGGAATGATGGGAGTTGTAGTCCAACAACAGCTGGAGATTCAAGTTTGGGAAACACTGAATTAGATTCAGCCACAGCATCAAAATCCAGAATACCTGCCAATTCAAAGATGGAGTCATGTGATTCTTTTCAACCCTTCCATTGCTTCCAAATCACTATGCAATAAAGTACAGGAGCCCCCAGTGCCTTCCTCACAGAGAGAAGGCTGAAATACATTTTCTTCTTCTTTTTCAGCCAATAAGATTGGACAGTCCCTGTGTTAGCAGAGGGACTGCTTGGTATCAGCTGTGCTATTCACACCACACATTTGCCTTATGTTTTCTGCCACTACTATGAAAACAATGGGTATAGAACTGCCATCTTATTAACCTGTCTTCAATACGCTCTCCATTATAGCTGCCTTAATTCGCTCCGTGATTAAGAGCCAAACATTTTAATCACAGGGACCCAGGACATCGGATGCCAGAACGCAGTCTCTCAGCAGCCGAACAGAAGCAGAAGCAGGGTTCCAAATCAATGTTTACCTGACAGACTCTGCAGCTGTGATAGCAATTAGTGGGAGAGTTCTCAGCGGAAGGCTGGTGGGCCTCGGCACCGTCTCTGGATCACCCTTTCTGTCCCAATCTGCCTGCTCCAGCTGCCTGAACGCCAAAGGGGGAAGCTGGAGATTACGGCAGGAAAGTCTCCTGACACGATATTGGTCCATTCCTTGAGGAGCCCCATCCCCTTCATCGTGCGAGTACAGTGTTTCTTCTGACACCTAGAAAAACAACAGCAACAAATATTGCCTTAATAATTCTCTGCAGTTTCTTTCCTAAACTGCATCCATTAATTTTGGTGTACTTTATATTTTATTTTAAAAGTATTAAATGCATAGAGCAATGAAGAACTCTGAAGCTATGTGTGCCCTTTAACAACTGGCTAGAGCAGGATTGTATGATGGGCCATTAGAATGAAGATCTTCTTATAAGGATGCTGTGGTCACGCTGGTCCAGATGGAATATTGCGGCAAAGCACACCTGTGCCACAGTAACAGCAGGGGACAGTACCACATGCACATCGACAAATGCTTTTTATGCATGAACTGGGGAGGGTGATGCAGTAGCTCATAGGATAAGGATCCTTCTGGAGGTTTTCTGTTAAAAACTATAATCAGGCATAGGGATGGACAAATCTGAAAATTTTGGCTTCTCATTTTTCCATTCTTAAATTCAAGTTCACTACATTTCTGCATCAGTTTGCAATGCTTAATCCTCGGAAAAATTAATCTCCATTTTACTGTGCATTTCTCCTAATAGAGCAATGATTGCATGTAGCCACTGTCTAATAAATGGTATCAAGGTATGCTATTTTCAATAATATATTCATTTTTATTCACACTTTCCCTAGATGCATACCTTTTGGAGTACTGCATCACAAAATCCAAAAGACTGCAAAATTTTGCAGCATAGTTCACGGCTGCCTCCCCTGTTTGTTGCTTTTTTGCTGCATTTGCAGGGCCAAAGTGACCTTTCTGGGGTGAAAGCCTGGGCAGTGTGTATGGAGGTCCTGAGCTACTCTGATTAAAAGACCCCTTTCTCAGCCTTGGTGATGTAGTCCATAGAATCATAGAATCATAGAGCTGGAAGAGACCACAAGGGCCATCGAGTCCAACCCCCTGCCAAGCAGGAAACACCATCAGAGCACTCCTGACATATGGTTGTCAAGCCTCTGCTTAAAGACCTCCAAAGAAGGAGACTCCACCACACTCCTTGGCAGCAAATTCCACTGTCGAACAGCTCTTACTGTCAGGAAGTTCTTCCTAATGTTTAGGTGGAATCTTCTTTCTTGTAGTTTGGATCCATTGCTCCGTGTCCACTTCTCTGGAGCAGCAGAAACCCACCCCCAAATCCCCCAGAGCAGATTTGGGGGAGTGCTGGGGGCTTCCAGGGCAAGGGGAAATTGGCAAAAATCACCTCGCCTCATTTTCCATCAATGGCTGCCTCCACAGTTGCAACAATGATAAGTACAGGAATTAGATATCACCCATTGTCCCTGGGAATGGAAACATTTATTTTGCTAAATAAATCTCTCCTTCATAGACCACTGACAAGCTCTTTATTTTGTAACTGTACAAATAGCTTCTTCCTCCCCGCTGACGGCAGCATCCCAATGAAATTGTGTAGAAGGCTGTCTCAGTCAGTCTGACCAGTTCAAATCAGAGGTGTCTTTATGACAGATTGGCTAAATAGGGGACACTGTAAAAACCAGATAAGACGACCAGCTTGCTTCCTAGGTAATGCATTGAAATCACATTTGACAAATAAAAACCTGCCTATCTGTTTTAAGCGTTCCACATTTTTATCTTTTAAACAGATCACACAATCCAAACTCAGCGTTCATGACAAATATCTTGGCTACTCTGAAGGAAATGCGAAAATTATAGGAATTATGGGTGCACTGGGAGGGCAGCAAATGAATCAGAGATATTGATTGCTGTGAAAATGCCATGAAAAAGCCTATTTATGTCATTGAAAGAGTGGTTCAATTACCATTCTGTTTTATTTTTAGCACTCTGTACAAACAGAAGGAAAAGTGGATGTAACTATTTTATCTGTGCTCTGGACGTATATGGGGAAAAAAGAGGAATGATGTTTTTAGTAGCATATGAAATACATACTCTCTCTCACACAGGTGTGTGTGTGTGTGTGTGTGTGTGTGCGCGCGCGCAGCTTATGGTCACTTAATCATAGGCAGAGTATGCAAATAGCAATATGTGTTAGGGAAAACCCATTTTTACCTTTCCTAACTAAAATGTTCAAAAATATTATAGGAATCAACAGAATATACTAAATATAATAAGCAATTCACAATAATATTCAGGCGTCCCCAGAGATTATATTCACATGCTGCTTATTTTAGCAGCAGCCTGGTGAGTAAATGGGCTGTGAGCTGCAACCTGCATAAGACACTTTGTGAAATATACTCGGAGTCGAGAGTGGATTTCATGCTCTTTATTCAGCTCATGGTGGTGAGGAGGAATGGAAGTTCCCCCAGAATGTCTGCTTTATGTACATTATTTACACAATGGGCCCCACGTGATTGGCTAATTCCGGGATTCTCCTGTAGGCCAATCAGGTTGCGGATTCACTTCCACCTGGAGCTGGATTGGGTGGCTCCTGTGGACCAATCAGACTGCTGCATTCTGGGTCCTATTGTTCTAGGACCAATCAGACTGCTGCATTCTGAATCCTATTGTTCTAGGACCAATCAGACTGCTGCATTTTGGATCCTATTCAACTCAGTACATAACACTTAGGGAGGGCTCATCCACACTGCTGTTGGGGTTGTGATTTCTTCCATTTGTCCTGTGACTGCCAAACACAGGTCTGAGAGGATTTTCATCTGTCCCCAGGAAAACCTGTCAGCCCCAGCCAACATGGCCAGCAGCACAGAGTGACAATACCAGGTGATTCATTCTTAATTGCTGTCTCTGAATTATTTGTAATACTGAGTTTGACTCTTGTTCCATTGCAGCATGCTCAAGTGAACTTCAGTTTGTAGCATGTTGTGTTGGGTGGGCTGCAAGCCCCATGAGAGAGATTAATGTGCCACTTCCAACCAACCTACCCAGCATGCTCTCCTTAGGCACTGCACCCAATGCAGGAGGTTCATCCTCCCACCTCATATTGGGGCCCAAATATATTATGGACAGCCTCCAGGAAGAACCGTAGAAGACAATGCATTCATAGAATCACAGAATTGTAGAGTTGGAAGGAGCCATGAGGGTCATCTAGTTCAACCCCCTGCAATGAAGGAATCTTTTGCCCAATGTGGGGCTTGAACCCATGTCCCTGAGATTAAGAGGCTCCTACTCCACTGACTGAGCTATCCCAAACTCACACAGCATGAATTGGTGTGCGGGGGGGGGGGATATGGCGAGTTTTCCTTTGGATAAATGGTAGGGAAGTGATGGATTAACAACCACGCTTCATCAGTTTGAATGACATAGCTAGTGCTAACTTCTGTGAATGGGTAAGCTGGCAACAGGCAAGAAATAGTGTTTGCTTACACACAAAAACAACTTCCCACTGCGCATTTCTTTCTTTCTTTCACACTATTGTCATGCTCTATAACTACTGGAAAGACAACCTTAAACAAACATTCAAATGTTGATAATTCATGAACAATAAAGGAACTCAATTCCTACTACAAATCACTCCTTCCAGCAAACCAGACAAAAACTGACACTTGCTTTCTTTAATTACTTTATGAAAATATGCAGATTTCAGCTTCAATGCTCAGAATAGGATGAGAATACACATTTCCCATGACCTCAGTTTAGGGGTGCAGCGCTTCCATTGAGAGATTCTTAAAAAACCAAGTAAGAGTGGTGGAACAAGAAGCAACAACTATGTCCCTTGGGTGACAGGCTGGACAGCCCATCTCCATGAAAGCAGGAGACCTCATGAGAAGGGGAAGGAGAGATAATAGTGTTATGTACTGAAGTTCTCACCCTGGGTCAGCAGGGGGATACTGTAGATAGTTATGCAAATGAAGGATCGAAAGTGACGTTCAGTGACTGGATAGTCTGTATGCAAATGAAGGATCGAAATTGATGTTCAGTGATTGGATAGTTTTAGAAAGTTGCTACAGTTACGTTGTTCTGGAGCTCTATATAAGCAGGCTGACTGAGCTCTTCAGTTCAGTTCTGTTCTGGCTTCTGAATAAACAAGAGCTGTTTGAAGAATCGCTGTGTCGTCTGATATGTTCACCCACAACTTAACAAATAGTATGCACAGCTGCATGGCCTATGCAGAAGACCAAGTGGAGCAAGGCCTTGGAGGCAATTAGCCGATTATCTATTCTACAGTAAACTTGGGAACCACCCACTCATAGTGTCTCTGTCTTGTCAGGAATCAGAATCAGTTTGTTGGCCCTCATCCAGTCTGCCACTGAGTCTAGGCACCAGTCCAAAGCTTGCTTGGCCTCTCCTCACTCAGATGTTACAGAGAAATAGAGCTGGGTGACATCAGCATACTGATGGCATATCACCTCAAATCTCCTAATGACCACTCGCAACAGATTCAAATATATGTTAAACAGCATTGGGGACAAGGTGGTAGCCTGTGGCACCCCACAGCCCAGCTGCCAGGGGGCCAAACGTCAATCACCTAATACTATTTTCTGAAAGCAACCTTGGAGATAGATTTGGAACCACTGTAAAGCAGTGCCTCAAATATCCTTCTCACTAAGTTGGCTCAGGGGCAGACTTTGGTCTTTCAAATTTCAGCAGCACCCTGTGCAAGGCCAACATTTGGCACACACACCCCACCTCTCACTCTCCATTCTGATCAGTTCACTACATCATAATTGTGACGCCCTGCAACGCCTCCTAGGCTAGGCACCCAGTGCCACGGAACTAGTCGCACTGCCCTAAATCCACCTCTGATTCCAAGATCAATGATATAAAAGGCTATTGAGAGAAGAAGTAAAAATAACATGGTTGCACTCCCCCTGCCCTTCTCCTGATGCAGGTCATTCATCAGGGTGGCCAAGGCTGGTTCAGTCCCATAACCAGGCATGAGCCCAGATTGAAATGGGTCAAGATAACTGGGTTCATCCAAGTGTACTTGCAATTGTTGTGCCACGACCCTCTCAATTACCTTCCCTAAAAACAGAGTATTTGTGACCAGGCAGTAACTGACACAAAGTCCAGGGTGGCCTTTTTTTCTCCCTCTATTTTTTTAAGAACTGGTCGAGCCACTGCTTCCATCAAGACAGCAGGGACCACTCCCTCCCACAAGGATGTGTTAGCCACTGGATCCACTCAGTCATACCCCCTCGGCAAACTTTAATAAGCCAAGGGGCAGAAATACATAGTTTCAAGCTTGCTTGGAGGCAAGTCGCTTTACCTTCAAAGTGCCTTGTAAACAATTCACACTGGGTTCCAAAGGGTTTAAAACTGCATTCCTTGGAAATGCTAACAAGCCCTAGACAACACAAAAGCTGCACTGGGTAGCTACTTAAAGATGCAATGGAGGCAGAAAAGGAAGCCTTCTTGCTGGTCTGAGATTTGGGGGGTGGATTTTGATGTTTTAAATTATACTAGCACTCTTGTACCTGGTGTTGCTTGAAAATTCTAAGAAAATCAGTGCAGTCTACCCTCTTGGTTCAGAATGGCAACCAATTATAGCCCAACAGCTGAAAACCTGCTCCTTGATCTCAGAAACGAAAATGCAAAATTTGGTTGCAATATCTTAAGAGGTGTCCAAATGCATAGTGAACAGAGTTCCATAGGCAGAGGGGATGATTGTTAAGCCACTCTGGGAATTACAGCTTTTAACAACTCTAAGCATCCCTATGATTCTTTGGGGGAAGACATGTTTGTTAAAGTGCTATCATAGTGCTTTAAATGTGTGGTGTAAATGTGGCCCAAGTCTTTTTTCTTTTCAGTGATAATCCTAAATCTACTAAGGATTTTTTTGTTAGCCGATGTGACAAAAATGGAATGGGAAAGTTCCAGAAAAAGAAAAGTAGTCAGCAAAAACAAACAAGCACCCAGCTTAGTTAAAGTATAGCTTTGAATAAAAATAATGAGTATGCAGTGTGACTTCATTGAAGACTGGAATATTAAAAAGGTCCACATAAGCACATAATTTTAAGCTTGTACTGAATTATAAGCAAAATTTATCTGAAAGACTTTCAGGATGCTTATAACCAGAAAACGCTCCATTTAATTAAAATACTGATAAGAGAAATGGCAGAGAAAAAAACAGAAGATAACCATGCACACACACAAATCCAAACATGAATGCAGATATATGCATCCCTCAAGCAACAGTCCAATAAATATCACTTCTCCAGATAAGATTCAAGCACCAACTCCTAGAAACATCACAAGTCCCCTCCAAAACCTCAGCCTTACAGGAAGCAAACATAGCAGATGATAAATAAAACAGTGTAGCATTGAGATGCAATGTGCACCCTGCTGTGCAATGCCGAACTTAAGAATCCTGTACTTTTAGAAAATGTGACTCAGGGAATTAGCGAGATGGAGCGTCTTGGAGCTCAAGTGTTCTAAGTGCTGACAGTTTCACCAGCAACTTCACTTAAGAGTCGGTCAAGGCAAAGATATGTTTTTGTTTGCTTGCTTGCTTGCATAAAAAAAGAAGTTAAAATGCCTCAGTGGGTTACAGATTGAAGTTATGCTGAGGTTATATTACAGGGAAGATTGAGCAGACGAAACCAATAGCAAGTCCAGTGGTCAAGAAGGTGGTTTCTACATGTGCTGTTGAGGGAAGTGGGGGGCAGAAGGGGCACGCTAACCTCGGAAGGTAGCCCATCTAGGAGAAGGAAAACTTTGATTCTAAAGCTCTATTGTAGCCTTCTTAGACTTTACCGACTGGTGGGGTCTGCGTTGCTCCCGGGAGGGAGAAAGGAAGTCAAACGACACCGAGGTTGATTCAGAGAAAGAGTTTATTCTGCTCTCTGGACAGCAGAAGGCTGGTCAGTTCACAGCAAGTCCAAAGAAATGAGAAATTTCATGCAGTATATATATCCTCCAGGCACCCTCTCCCCCCTTCCCCAGGAATCCAACCACGTAAGCTTATGCACGTAAGTTGACATCCATGACCATAAACAGATATTCCTGTTCCGGTACTCTTGACCATAAAAGGTTGTTCCTATTCCTTTTTATATATATATAAGATATTTATTAAAGTTTAAACATTACAAAGAAAAGAAAAGAAAAGAAAAGAAAAACAAAAGAAAAATACAAGCAATAAACAATTACAAAACCTCAAAAACAAAAATAAATACAGTAATACAAAACATCAACAATACAAAAAAGGCAAAAAAGAAAAAACAAAAGCATTTAAAACCCCCAAAAAAGAACAAACAAAAATAAAAAGGACCCCGTATTTTCATATCCTTATCTTTCATTTGCTTATTTCCTCGACTTCCTCACAATCTTTTTCCAATCTTCTTCCACCGACTCTTCTCCCTGGTCTCGGATTCTGCCAGTCATTTCCGCCAATTCCATGTAATCCATCAGCTTCATCTGCCATTCTTCCCTGGTAGGTAGGTCTTGTGTCTTCCAGTGCTTAGCGATGAGTATTCTTGCTGCTGTTGTGGCATACATGAAAAAAACTCTGTCCTTCTTTGGCACCAATTGGCCCACCATGCCCAGGAGAAAGGCCTCTGGTTTCTTTAAAAAGGTATATTTAAATACCTTTTTCATTTCATTATAGATCATCTCCCAGAATGCCTTAATCTTTGGGCATGTCCACCAAAGGTGAAAGAATGTACCTTCAATTTCATTACATTTCCAGCATTTATTATCGGGCAAATGATAAATTTTTGCAAGCTTGACTGGTGTTATGTACCACCTGTAGATCATTTTCATTAAATTCTCTTTTAAGGCATTGCATGCCGTAAACTTCATACCAGTGGTCCATAACTGTTCCCAGTCAGCCATCATAATATTATGTCCAACATCCTGTGCCCATTTAATCATAGCAGATTTCACCATTTCATCCTGAGTATTCCATTTCAACAGCAAGTTATACATTCTTGACAAATTCTTAACTTTAGGGTCTAACAATTCTGTTTCCAGCTTTGATTTTTCCACCTGAAAACCTAATTTTTTTGTCCTGATTATATGCCTCCATTATTTGATAATAATGGAGCCAATCTCGCACTGTTTTTTAATTTTTCAAAGCTCTGTAATTTTAATCTGTCACCCTCTTGTTCCAAAAATTTCCCAGTACTTCAAGCCATTTGGCCTCCATATTGAGTTTTTTCTGGGCCTTTGCCTCCATAGGTGACAGCCATCTTGGGGTTTTATTTTCTAACAAATCCTTATATCTTATCCAGACATTAAACAGTGCTTTTCTT